GGTTGCTATTGCAACTCAATATTTGCGAAGTGTTTGTCTGTTTACGGTAGACAAACGTCGCCATTTTGGCGTCCGGTTGGCGGCAGACGAGACCGTCCAAGAACGGAAGTTTGCCCCCCATTTATTCTTCTGTCGGGAGCTGTAGATAAGGGAAAATCGAGTTCAATCGGTCTTTGTAATTGCTGATACTATTCTGTTTGATGACAACGGAGGTGTCTTCCACGTAACGTGCCCAAAATTTGGGCTTGTACTCTTCGAACAGCCGTCTCTCGTGTTTTTGTAGTACCACTTCGGCAATGAGCCCAGAGATTGGTGACCCCATTGGGGTGCCTTTGGTTTGCTCATATATGGTCTCTTCGAAGGTTAAGAAGGTATTGAGACAGTGTTCTGTGAGTTCTATGAGGCCTTGGGTTGTGAGCCGACCTTCTCACTCGTAATTCTGTCGTAGAAGGTCCCGGATCTTTTCGATAGCAAGGGCCTGTGGAATGGATATGAAGAGTGAGATGACATCTAATGACAGCATCTTTTCACCGGGTTCAATTGCGACCGTCTTTATTTTGTCTAGAAATTGTTCTGCCGAGTGAACTTTCGTTTGTGAGCCCGCCGTAAGGAAACTCAGCTTCTGGAATAGGCAGTTTGCCAGCCGTATGTGAGTGTGCCTCGGAGGGGATCGATTGGCCGTAGGGATACGTCTGGCTTTTGCATTTTGGGAGGCCGTAGGACCGTGCCATGGCTGATTCGGTGGGCTTTGCCATGCACCAGTCCTTGATGGTGATGACCTTTTCTTTCTTTGTTCAACCCATCGTTTTGCTCACTTTTGTAAATAGTGGTTTTGGGCCGGTGGTGTTACTGACTCTGTAAGACTCGATCATTGAGAAGCGTTCGATTTTGTTTTGGTAGTCAACTTTATCCAGCACAATCGTAGCTCGGCCTATGTCAGCAGGCAGGATAACTATTTTGACTTATGCTTGTACGTGTTACGGCTGTGATCATGTCTGATCTAGCCGGCCTTAATGATGTCACGAACGGTACCTCTCCATGCGTGGCGATTGGCGGCAGCGGATCTGGAACGTTCCACCCAGTCCCTTCTCAAGCGACGGAGACCGAAGATAGAGGGTTCAAGAATCAAGCTCCATCCAGTCTCTTCTTCAGCGATGGAGACCGAAGATAGAAGGTTCAAGAACTGCTTCCATGTCTTGACGGACGGCGTCGAGCCAAGTCTTCAGTTG